TGGTTGAGTTGAATGTTAAGGTCATTGAGTTAAGGAATTAACCTTTGGCTATGAAATTGTGCAACTGGTTGTCAATCAATTCAAATGCTTGAATGATCAGAACTTGATTGAGTTAATACTGAAGTTTTGGTGAAGTAAACCCCTAACTATGCTTCATACATCTGTTTCACTACAAAAATTCGTGACTCTAGTTTTGTTATATTTTGCACTTTTTGCACTTATCAATTTGCTTCCAAATGTTACAAATTCCAATTGAATTATGTTAGACTTAATTAGTTATTGAATTGTGAAGTGATACTTGAGGAAACTATTTCCTAAGAATGATACTTAGGACTCAACTTGATTCCAAGATTTTATACCTTTCTACAACTATACTAGTACACTTGCTAGTTAAGTTCACTTTTAGTGTAACTATTCATAGAGTGACAATAGACCAATGGACAGGCTGAACTCTCTACCAGAGAAATAAAGAAGATACTTGAGAGAGTTATGCAGCCACACAGGAAAGATTGGTGTCGAAGACTTGATGATGCATTGTGGGCGCATAGAACTGCATTCAAGACACTTTTAGGCATGTCATTATATAGGTTTGTCTATGGAAAAGCTTGCCATCTTCCAGTTGAGATAGAACACAAGACATATTAGGCAGTGAAGACTTATAATCTGCACTATGACTTCGTTGGAGAGCAAAGGAAGTTGCTGTAAGAATTAGAGGAGCTATGTCTAGAGGCTTATGAGAACTCAATAATTTATAAGGAAAAGACCAAGAGGTACCATGACAAAACAATATCTAGAAAAGAGTTTTACATTGGTCAAAAGGTCCTCTTGTTCGATTCTCGCCTCAAATTCATGCCCATAAGGCTTAGATCAAGGTGGATAGGACCATTCACAGTCACAAAGGTATTCCCTATTGGTGTAGTGGAAATCAAGAGTGATTCCACTAGTAAGAGCTTCATGGTAAATGGGCACTTTGGGATATAGTATTCACTTTGGGATCATCTTGTTCTTTGAATTTTGAATAATTCTATTATTGCTACATTCTCCCTTTATACACATAACTAGCCCTGACCATTTCATTGATGCTGCTGGAAATCTGCATGACCAAGCACTACACACACACATTCTTTTTCCAATATTGCACATTAAAAGTGGTCACTCTCATGTCCAAAAGTGTTCACTGTGTGTGTGTGTGTGTGTGTGAATTTTCTGAGGCAAGAGTAGCTAATTTGGACTGTATTCCACATGCTTGGCCTAATTTTTCTACAATCTGTTGCATCAATTCAACCTGTGACAGTTGCATCCCCATGCATTTCTCTGCATGATTACACTTGTGTTGGACTGTTGCTGCACTCAAAATGCACAACATGAAGCATGATCATCCATAAGCCTGCCCATTGCCTACTTCTCCACTAGAATTCACACATACACACAAAAATCAAGAAGACTTTTCTAGGTTATAAAGGGGCATAGTGAAGGTGGAAAAATTACAACGGTAATCAAGCTAAAACCAAAGAGGATATAAGAACAATGAGGAATGAATCCAAAGAAAGTAAGCATGAAAGTAAATCCCCTAAACAAAGATATAATGTAATACAATCCAAAAATAATCCTCTTTTACTTTTGCTAGCCATCCAATGTTTCTTTTCCTTTTCTTTTTTCTCTTTTTCTTCTTCTTTTTTTAAAGTAGCTGATTTTTCTTTTCTCTTGCATTTTCTAAAGTAATCTCCCCCACAATTATTTCTATGACCATTCCCAAAACAATTCCAAAGTTCTTGTATCTCCTAAGGTTGGGTCATTTTATTGTTTTATACCTTTGGCTTGAAATGAGCTAAAATCACAAGAAATAGGACAATTAGGCTTGAGGGGGCTCAAACAATAGAAATAATGCAAGGTTGGTTTTTTGGCTAGTAGTTTGCAAGAAGGAAATGATGTCTCTATCATGTTAATGCAAGCATATGAAAATATAGTCTTAAAAAGGCTTAAGGCAAGTTCTAGTGCCATACAACCATAAGTGTAATCACACAATGAAGGCAAGTAAAATGACATGATATTGTCATCTATATGGCTCAAAACCTCACAAGGTATATATTCTATCCCAAATAATAAAACACACAAGATATCAAAGTCCACCTATCAAACTGAAGCATGATTCAATCAATCCATCAAAGCCTTGAAATAATAACTTAATTAGACTATGTACACATAAAAAATATAATACTTCCCCTCACTTGAAATTAACATTGTCCTCAATGAAAAACACAATAAACATAAGGACAATTCAAACAATCCAATAAGTGAGAGAAATGTAAGAAAACTCCCGAATTCAAAAGTGGCCTCCTTTTGTTCATGTTCCCCCAAGCTCTCATGAAAAACTTTGAGCCGATGCCCATTAACCTTGAAGCTCCTTTGTGATCCCATATCCTGAAGTTCAACAACACCATAAGGAAAAACGTTAATAACAAGAAAGGGACCATCCCACCTAGATCTCAATTTACCGGGCATAAACTTAAGGCTAGAATTATATAAAAGGACTTTATCACCAATATGGAACTCTTTACGCCCTATTAGCTTATAATGAAAAGCCTTGGTGCGCTCTTTGTAGATGTTGGAGTTCTTATATGCTTCTCTATGAATCTCCTCCAACTTTTATAATTGAAGCTTCCTATGAGAGCCAACTGCCTCTATATCTAGGTTACATTGCTTGATCGCCTAGAATGCCTTATGCTCCACTTCTACTGGTTGATGACATGTCTTACCAAAAACAACCCGATAAAGAGACATTCCTATGGTTGTTTTGTAGGCAGTTCTATAAGTCCACAGAGCTTCCTCCAAGCGTAGACTCTCATCCTGTCTGTTGGGTTGGAGAGTCTTCTCCAGAATTTGCTTTATTTCTCGATTGGAGATCTCTCTTTGTTTGTTAGTGTGAGGGTGGTATGGTGTAGAAACTTTATATATAACCCCAAACTTCTGAAGTAAGGCAGCCATTGTGCAATTGCAAAAGTGTGATCCCTGGTCACTGATTAATGCTCTAGGAAATCCAAACCTGCAGAAAATATGTGACTTTACAAAATCTACAACAACACGAGCATCATCACTACGAGTGGCCTTTGCCTCCACCCACTTGGAGACATAGTCCACTGCTAACAAAATATAGATATAGCCAAATGAAACAGGAAAGAGACCCATAAAATCTATGCCCCATACATCAAACATCTCACAGAAAAGGAGAGGTAGTTGGGGCATCTCATTTCGTCATAAGATGTTTCCAGTCCTTTGGCATCACCTGCATGTCTTACAAAAGTTGTGTGCATCCCGAAAGATTGTAGGCCAATATAGTCCAGAATCTAAAATCTTTCGGGTTGTACGTTAAGGTCCAAAGTGTCCACCACAAGCCAAAGAATGGCAAAATCTAAGCACAGACTGGAACTCAGGTTCGGGCACACAACGTCTAATAATCTTGTCACTGCACATCTTCCATAAGTATGGATCATCCTAAATGTAGTATTTGGAATCACTCTTCAGCTTGGCAGTTTGAGCTTTGGAAAAGTATGTAGGAATCTCCTTGGCAGCCAAATAATTCACCAAGTCTGCATACCAAGGATCATGCCCTCTAATGTGGTAAAGCTGCTCCTCTGGAAAGGTGTCTCTAATGAGGTGATCCTCCAGTGGCTACTGAATTCTGCTAAAATGGTCTGCCACTAGGTTTTCTGGACCACATTTATCTTTGATCTCAATGTCAAACTCTTGTAGAAGAAGCATCCAACGAATTAGTCTCAGTTTAGAATTTGACTTTTTAAGCAAGACCTCAAAGCTACATGATCAGAGAAAATAATTACTTTAGAGCCAAGTAAATATGAACGAAATGTATCTAAAGCAAAAACAATGGCTAAAAGTTCTTTTTTTGTAGTGGTGTAGTTTGCTTGTGCTATATCCAATGTCCGAGAAGCATAGGCTATGACATGGGGTTATTTCTTCACTTTTTGACCAAGGACAATGCCAACTACAAAGTTCGAAGCATCACACATAAGCTCAAACAGAATCTCCCAACTCAGAGGTTGAATGATTGGAGTAGAAGTGAGGCGCCTCTTCAGCTCACCAAAATCGTCCTTGCAGGTTTGATCAAAGATGAAATCAGCATCTTTCTGCAAAAGGGTAGATAATGGGGACGCGATTCTGCTGAAATCCTTGATGAAGCGCCTACAGAAACCTACATGGCCAAGAAAATAGCACACTTCTTCCACAGAAGTACGGTAAGGTAAAGAAAAAATTACATCAATCTTGGCTCTATCAGTCTCAATACCCTTACTTGACACTACATGCCCTTGTATAGTCCCTTCAGTCACCATAAAAATGACATTTCTCATAATTTAAAACCAACTTGAACCGTATGCACCTATTTAATACTCTAGACAAGCTATCTAAACATGCATCAAACGAACTCATAAACAGTAAAGTCATCCATGAATACTTCAAGTGAGGTCTCTAGGAAGTCCATAAATATGCTTATCATACACCTCTGAAAAGTGCTGGGTGCATTACATAGTCCGAATGGCTTCCGTCTGTAAGCAAAGGTACCAAAAGGACAAGTAAAGGTTGTCTTATGTTGATCCTCTAGGCTATGTGTATTTGAAAGTAACCAGAAAATCCTTCTACAAAGCAGTAATAGAATTTTCCTACTATCCGCTCTAAGACCTGATCAATAAAAGGCAGGGGAAAATGGTCCTTGCAAGTGGCGTGATTCACCCATTCTGAATTCTGGTCGGAATCAGCTCATCAAATTGGTTCTTTGTGACTGTTATGCCAGTCTTCTTGGGTACAACATGGATCGGACTTACCCACTCACTTTCAAAGATCAAGTATATCATTCCAGCAGCTAACAGTTTACCAACTTTTTTCTTCACTACCTCCAGGGGGGTGGGGTTTAGCCTTCTTTGGGGCTGTCTCACAGGTTTTGCATCTTCATCCAGCAGAATTTTATGCATACAAGTGGATGGGCTAATTCATGGAATGTCTGCCAAAGTCCACCCAATTGCTTGCTTGTGAGTTGCTAAAGTTTGCAACAACTTCTCCTCTTGTTCAGTATCCAAATATGCTGAAATGATCACTAGAAGCTTGTTATCAGCCTCTAAAAATGCATACTTCAAGTGCTTGGGCAGAGGCTTCAGTTCAAGTGTAGGTGGCTGCATAATAGAGGGAAGTGTCCTGGTGGAGAAGTCTAATTCTGCAGCATGGATCAAGCTAGAGCTTTCCAAACTTGCTGCTGCATCACATGAAACATCATCAGCTGTTAAATATGCATATATTTCAGCACAAATTTTACACAAATCTCTTACAGTGCATGTACAACTATAAATATAAAAAAAATCAATACAAAACTCCTCAGTTAAAACATCAATAATATTTATATGAAATGCACTATACAGCTTTGATGGATGCTTCATGGCCTTAAAGATTTTGAACTGCATAATATCGTCTTCAAACTCTATGGGTAGAATTCTTGAGTGCACATTAATCTTTGTCCTTGCTGTTTTCAAGAAAGGTCTACCAAGGATCAGTATAGGCTTGCTGGACTCTTCTGCCATGTCCAGAATGAAGAAATCTGCAGGGAATATCAGCTTATCCACTCTCACTAGCACGTCTTCTACTACTCTAGTAGGGAATGCAGTGCTCCTATTTGCCAATTGAATGACTACACCAGTTTGCTTGAGAGGGCCGAGGCTCAAAGACCTGTAGATTGATGTAGGCATCACATTTATGGAAGCACCAAGATCAAGTAATGCATTACTGAAGATGGAATTTCCAATAGTGCAAGGGACAGTAAAAGTGCCAAGATCCTTGCACTTGTACGGCATATTGGGCTGTATGAGGACTGACATGTTCCTCCCCATGTTGACTCTTTCATCCCCTTTCAATCTCCTATTGTTAGTGCATAACTCTTTAAGGAACTTTGCATATTTTGGAATTTGTTTTAGCGCATCTAGCATTGGAATGTTCACTTCTACTCTTCTGAATGTCTCAAAAAGCTCATTATCAAAGTCTGTTGGTGGCCTTGGCTTGGCTATTTTGTTCGAAAAGGGAATGGGTGGTTTCTGCACAATTTCTGAACTGCTAGAGGCAGTTTTTGGCTATGTTTTGTTGCTTTTTTGCATCCACATCATCTTGTACCTCTTCATCTTTCTAGTTGCCTAACAGCTCCTTCCCACGCCTCAATATTATGGCACTCACGTTTCTAGGATTAACCTTTGTTTGAGAAGGGAGTTGTTCAGAACCTTGAGACTTGAACTGGTTTACAGTGGTAGCAAGCTGGCCAATTTGTGTCTGCAGGTCTTGAATGGAGGCATTGACATTCTGTTGGAATTGTAAATTGCTCTTGGCCATTTGTTTGACCAAATCCTCTAAAGAAGGCTCAAAACTTTGTTGTGTTTGCTGCTGCCTCATAGGGGGTGGTCTATAGCCATTACTTGCTTAGCTAGTCTATTGTTGCTGCTGCTCAGAGGTACTATATCTCATATTTGGATGATCATTGAAGGCAGGATTATGAGATTGGTAATAGAACCTATACAACTGTTGTTGTCTCTAAGGTTGTTAGAAATTCGAAGCTCTGTATTGGTCTTGTCTTCCACTAAAAACTCCATGGACTGAAGCTTATTGGCTACCATCATGCAGCAAAGGACAACAATCTGAGGTATGCTCTATGAAGGAACAAATATGACAGTCTTTAGTCACCCCTTCTTGTGGAATAGTTTGCTGCACAATAGCTAGCTGTCTCACGAAAATAGTAAGCTCCTCAATTCTACTCTCAAGTCTGCTAGAATTTGGTACCATATGGTTTGGTTGCTGCACATTATGCACCTCTCTCATTGGTGCCATGGCTCTTGTATTAAACTGCTGAGAGTTCTCTGTCATGTTGTCAATTAGTGCTCTGGCTACAGATGGTGTCTTGTCTATGAGAGCTCCACCGCTTGCTGCATCAAGCATACTCCTCTCCATTGGAGCAAGGCCTTAATAGAAGTACTGAATAAGCAGCTGATCACTGATCTGATGGTATGGACATGTTGCACATAGCTTCTTGAATCTCTCCCAGTACTCATAGAGGCTTTCTTGGCTGAACTGTCTGATGCCACTGATCTCTTTTCTTATTGTGGCTGCTCTAGAAGCAGGGAAGAACTTCTCCAGGAACATCCTCTTCATGTCTATCCAGCAAGTGACAGACCCTGGCTGCAGGTCATATAGCCAATCTTTCACTGCCCCATCTAAGGAGAATGAAAAGACCTTCAGCTTGATGTGGTCTTCTGGAACTCTTTGAGACTTCATTGTTGAGCAAACTATGTGAAACTCCTTCAGATGCTTATGAGGATCCTCACCTGCACTACCATTAAACTTAGGCAACAAATGGATTAGACCAGATTTTAACTTAAATGAAGCATCTACATTAGGATATTGAATGTCTAATGGTTGGTATGTGACATCTGGTGCAGCCAATTCTTTAAGAGTTCTTTCGTGTTGATTATTAACCATAATATCAGAATGCATAGATATACTATCAGAATGATCACAATTAGAATGCTCATAATTAGAGTGCCCACCAACACTATCAAGGGTATCACTACAATGACTATGAACACTACCTTCCAATTTAAGTCTATTCAACCTGTTCCAGGTGCGTTCAATCTCAAGATCAAATGCGAGTAATTAACCAGAATTGGTTCTAGACATGCACCAAGAAGCAGATTGGTTGAAGTCAACAGGATCAACAAAGTCAAAGTCAAAGTCAACCTAACTGCGTTATTTTCTATTTTTAAGATTTTTTTTAAAATTATATATATATATATTTGCGATTTTTTTGTCCTAAATCAAAAATAAAATAAAATTTAAATAAAAAAATCAGAAATAAAATAAAAATAAATTTAGAAAAGTGATCTAAACGATGGAATTTGTGATTTTGAGCAGCACTGCGCGTAAAATGAATAATATAATATTAATGAATTCCACAACTCACAAAATAATAATAAATAATAAAAAAATGTAGCAAGATAATAAAATAATATGCTCCTACAGTGTTCTATCATGGTTCCTAGAATTCTAACCTAATAATTGACGACATGCATTCTTATCTTGGGCAGTTTGTAAGCCTGAAGCTAAAAAGTCACTAGAGCTAAAATCCATTGCATAAAGTCATCCTCAACCAATAGGTAGTCTACTAGATGAAGAGACTTATATAGATAAAATAAGCTCTAGCTAAAGTTCTCGTGATAGACAACAGGACTTTCATCCAAATTGCTATCATTACACAACTCTTCTAAACCTCGCTCATATTATCCATGATTAGTGATGTCTGAGGGAACAAACAAACTTTATACAAATCAAATAATAATAAAAATGTGCAAGGAAAAAAATAAAAATCAACCAAATAAATTACAATAGAAAATGAGATAAAAAAATAGAAATTAAAATTATTTTAGTTTATTTTTTTATTTTTTTAAGAAAAATATTAATTAAATTTTGTGTTCAATTTTTTTTAAATAAATAAAAATTGAAAATTTAAATTTAAAAATTGGTTAGATAAAGTTTTTTTTTTCAAAATTTAAATTTAAAACTAATCTATCTAAAAAAAAGCTAATCCTATCTTTAAACTCAAAACAAACCAAATCAAATCTAATCAAATCTTAACTATAATTATAAATTCAAATTTAAAATAATTTAAAATTTAAATTTAATTTTTTTTAAAAAAAATTAAATCTAAACCAAATTTGAGGGATCTTTATCCACTGCTCCTTATCTCTGCAAGATCTATACAAAATCTCTACAAATCACATAATTCTGCAACAATACGCTTATTAATCCAATATTTAAAAAATATAAAATCTAAATCTAAAATTCAAAACTCAAAATGCAAAATTCAAAATTCACTAAAACAGCAAAATTTAACGAAACAAAAATAAACTGATGAAAATTGAAATTAAACACACCCTTAAAATGAACAAATAAGAATATCGAATCGCGGCAACAGAAAGAGAAATGAAACAAAGATGAAAACAAAATTACGAATTAGAAAGTGAAAACGCAATACTAAACCCTAAAACGAATCAAAACCGACAATGCATCCCTGACAACGACGCCAATTTGATAGACAATTGCCGAGTCGCTATTAAAACAACTAAGTTTTCTAAAGATTTTGTAGTATAGAAGAGTCAAACGTAGGTCGATTCACGGAGACACATTTTTAGTCAAATTCAATTTTAGGTTTTCTTTTAAAAAATGCAAATAAGGTTTTTAGGGTTTTGAAAATTGCAATTAATCAAATTAAATTACGAACAGAATTAAAGTGAGAAAAAATGAATTAAGAAATATCAATCCACAGAATACTAATTGTGTGTAACTCTTAACTATCACAGTATCTAAAGATTTAAATCCATATTTGAACAATCACCCAATTCAATTATTAATTCAATCGAATGACTTAATTAAATAGAGCTATGAATTAAATTAAATAATCATTTAACCTAATTCGCATTAATTATCAAATTATAGCATCAATCGAGTCTTAATTTGAAATCTAACAATAGAAAAGTCAATCACGATTGTAATAAACAATTCTGAGATTAGAGAGAAAAAGAGAACAAACTCGGAGCAATTAGCGCAGAACTCAAGTCAGAACTACAGCGTTTGTATTCCGCACATTGAACGAGAGGTTTAGTCTTCCATCGAAATGCTTAACCCACACAAGAATGACAAAAGAATGAGAGAGTTCGAGAGAAAGTAAAAACAAGGATTCTTATTTTGGCCAAGTCTCAAAAGCTCAAAGTGTCTAATCCTCTCTCTAATTCAGAACCTTATTAGTCTATTTATAGGTTCTAATTAGGGTAAATTAAGTGGCTAAAATGTGGGCCTCAATAATATCTAAAAGCCCAAATACAATTATTAAATAACAAGGGTCTAAATGCAATCCTGTAACAATATTAAATAATCATTTAACCTAATTCGCATTAATTATCAAATTATAGCATCAATCGAGTCTTAATTTGAAATCTAACAATAGAAAAGTCAATCACGATTGCAATAAACAATTCTGAGATTAGAGAGAAAAAGAGAACAAACTCGGAGCAATTAGCGCAGAACTCAAGTCAGAACTACAGCGTTTGTATTCCGCACATTGAACGAGAAGTTTAGTCTTCCATCGAAATGCTTAACCCACACAAGAATGACAAAAGAATGAGAGAGTTCGAGAGAAAGTAAAAACAAGGATTCTTATTTTGGCCAAGTCTCAAAAGCTCAAAGTGTCTAATCCTCTCTCTAATTCAGAACCTTATTAGTCTATTTATAGGTTCTAATTAGGGTAAATTAAGTGGCTAAAATGTGGGCCTCAATAATATCTAAAAGCCCAAATACAATTATTAAATAACAAGGGTCTAAATGCAATCCTGCAACAATATTCAGCAAATCTGCTTCAACTTCAAAAAATCATAAAAAATAGAAAATAACTCCAAATCCAGCGATCCATATATGCATTTTGAAGCTCTGGATGTGTAGAATCCAATACAACTATAATCAGCCAAAAATCATATCTGTAGAAAAAGTTATGGCCAAAAGAGTAGTCAGAGGTCAGATAACCAAAAATTCAAAATTAAAGCATTTATTTGTAATAGGCCCAATTTATTCATATAAGTAGAAAATGGTAAAAACTATAAAAATAAAGCATATGAAAAGTGTTTATTAATCAAAATAAAATATTAAATGTAAACATAAAATATGTTACATCACATGCAAACCTTGTCAAATTTATGTTCCAGAGTAATTACTACCCTTTCTCATGGTGAATACTTTGACAGCACATTGATTATTCTGCAATGCATTCTTCTTGCACTAGTATTGCCCACCTACTGCCACACATGCATATTGCCATCTGCATGTTATCTCATGTGAAGTTTGCACTTTTGAATTAATTTGTACCTATTTTCCTGCATCAATTGCTTGTTAAACTTCACCTAGTGTAAATACTACATTTTTACGAAGTAATCACTATGACAACACTACACTTCACAGTAATTACTTTGATATCCACTCTCATTGTGAAGTTAGGAGTGTATAATTTTTTTTTGCATTTTCTTGCATCTTATGCAATCAACTCACTATCACTTTTCATTTCCCTACAGCAAAATGCTGAACACTCCTAGAACTAAGAAGGCCAGGACTGCTGGAGCTTCATCCTCCCGACCTCCACCTGCCCATGGCCCCAGATTCAGATCTAAGGCCTATGAGAAATACTTCAGGGCCAACATTCTCATAAGATAAATAGTGCAGAACAGAAATTTTGAGATCCAAGAAGGCACCTACCCTTAGTTCTAGGAGGAAATCCAAAAGAGGGGATGAGACCTTTTTACTACATGCACTAGAAATGGGTGGAAGGAAATCACCCAAGAATTTTATGCTAATGCAAT